CCAGAGCATGTCCACACCAGCACTTGCCTAACTCTTGCTAGCGTATGCTCAATGCTAGAGCAAGCCAGCTATATTGCACTTCCATTTGAGGAGGTAGTGTGTGTGCAGTGGGCATAGCTTGGCTCACTGGGGGTCTCCCTGGCACGTACTCAGAGGGGATAGATATAGATACAACCACTGATACCATGGCATTCAGCATAAAGCTCACCAACTATGCCCATATTTATTTAAAAATGGTAGTGTCCCCCTTTCCTATAACATCCCAGTGGTTGAAGCACTCACCGAGGAAACATGAAATCAGGGGGAAATTTCGTTAAGATAAAAATATCTTGATGTAACACTACTGGAAGGTGCAGAGGAGTTGACCACAGAGGAGGATACCAGAGGTTGAGAACAACACAGATCAGGTCAGTGGAGGCTCCTCCACAGTGGACGCATCTACATGTGCACTTTAAAGCACGTTCACCTGTTTTAATGTGCATTAGTCACAAAAAACCATGCACTTTTGATATTGCACATTCAAATAGGCTCATGTGCATTAAAGTGTCACTAAAAACCATGCACTTTAGTTAATGTGCATTAAAATAGGCTAATGCATATTTTCCTAGTACCTCATAAGGGAGGTACGAGATTTAATGTGCATTAATTAAAGTGCATTAATGCACATGTAGACACACCCGGTGTGTCTCAAGAACATCCTACATGTGCCTGTCACCTTAAGAGTGGGTCAACGCTAGAAAAATGAGTGTTTTTATCACAGCAATCAGAAACAATGTTGTTGCTATACTTGACAGGATTTATGCTGTTCTACCAGGTTTTCATGACCTCCATGTACAAACGAAGCTCGGTTCCTATCAACACCAGCAGGGTTGCACCATGATTTAGTGCAGTGATGCAGACAGTAATTTTTAGTGTGGACAAGGCTTGCCAAGGGGAGAGAAAACAATTCAGCTTCTACATTTATCCAGGAAACAAGGGTTATTGTTTGTCCAGTGGCCAACTCGCCAGTGGGAACAAGAACAAGAAAAAGCAGTTTCACGTAGGACTCTAAAGAGCTACATGATCATAATAACTTTTAATCACAACCAACCTGGGCAGGTTTCAAACACAGGACAGTTATATCTACCCTGAAGCACACAGAAGGGCTGCAATGTAGTAGAAGGGTACAGGTTGTATCCATGGTGGTCTAAAGACATAGGCAGACAAGGTTCTTTGGGTAAATCTGATCTCTTTTCCAAAAGCTTGCAAAGAAGAATTTTTTTCCAACTATTTGAGTTGGTCTAATAAAAAATATCAGATTTACCCAAAAAACCTTGTCTGCAGTATAGTAGAGATCCCCAAGTTAAACTAGCTAGTAGTGCCAGCAGTTTAGTTGTAGCGGTATGGAGTTCAACATGGGATAGACGCTTCTGCGACTGCGGTGTAGGCATACCCACAGAGCCAAGAGACTTAACTACCCATTACTATTCCACTAAGACAATTTATGAAACATGCATGCTCTAATCTCTCAGATTAATTTCCACTGATTAATTATTAAAAGAAAGGAGAGGGGTCTAAGATACTAATATTACTATTGGTTTGAATGTTTTATTTATACGGGACACTCTGTACAAGACAAAATTAAATATACCGTTCAAGGCTGTGTTTCCTACAAAGGTGGCGTATTACATACGACACCTTATAATAACAAGCTCTCTGTTCAGCTCTGCATTTGAATATACAATGTGTCATGTCTGTTGTCGATTAGTTCGGGTTGGTTAGTTTTCAGCAGAGGGCACATTTATAATGTTACAGAAGGCATGAGAGTAAAATCGAGACGCACATGCTATAATTTGGGAACGTTATGGATTGTTTAATGTAGTTCGGCAGAGCTGCCGCTCTGTTTACGTTCAGGAAGTCACATTTGTTGGACAATGGAAAGAAATGGAAAACAATGCAAAGGGGAAAAGTAGGAGTTGTGTTTTTTGTTGTGGTTTTTTTTTTTAAATGAAGGCAAGCTGCTGTGACAGGAAGTGATTCTGCATATATTTGTGGAAGGGTTTCTGTATTACCGCAGATGTATAAAGCAAACAGAGCCGGGTGCTTTTTACGCTTATCCAATCCAGAAAAGGGATCTATGTGCAACAGTATAGGCAGAATTCAATTTTACTTAATGAAGAGGCAAAGCTCAGGAGTGATCCTGTTACCCCCTCTGGGTGCAAAAGTGCCCCCATTATAGGAACAGGAAGATGCCCATTTGCAGTCAGGGGGTGTAAAAAAATCATTCTGATACTTTAGTCGAGTAACTCAACGTTAGTCAATACCTGCACTTTGGCCTGCGTCTTAACCGACACAGGAATACTCAAGTGGGTCCATGCCAATGATAGCACATTATGCGACCAGTGATAGTGGTGATGTGCTGATGCTTCACGAGGAAGAACTAAATAGGAGTAAGTGTCCCTGTGTCCCAGCAGCCTGCGTTCCCTTTGTGAAGGGGAGTGCCCAGGGGTGGACCCAGGATTTCCCAAAGAGGGGTGCGGGATCAGCAACCTGCGCTGCAGCAGTGGCTGCACGCCCTGCTCCCAGCCTCCTCCACCCCCAGCAGTGCAGCTAGACATTTTTAAGTCCCTAAGGCAAATAAAAATCCCCCCTCCGTTCCCCTTCCTGCTCAGAGACATAGCCTCCTCTGTTCCCCTTGTCACCCCCCAACTCTGGTGCCTGCCACTGCTACTTTCTCCACCCCTGGGGGCTGGGGAAGCTCCAGACCCAGCTGGGCTGAGCAGCGGCTGGACTCAGCTGGGGAGGAGACTGGCAAGAGCATGGCGGGAGATTACCCAGATCAGGTATGGGGAAGGGGAACTCTCATCCATCCCTGCTGCCATTGTCCTTATCCCTAGCAGAGCCCAGCCCCGTGCGGTGGACAGGAACAGCACTGATGCTTCCCCCACACCCCCAGGCAGCAGGGCCAGATGATGGCTCTTAGGTGAGCCCTGAAGAGGGTGGAAGTATATCACCAGCCTTCAGTTCCTCTGGGCTCCCCGCACAGACAGAGAGCCAGGCAGCAGGAAGTAACAGTTCATCAATACATGTAGTGGTCTTGTGGAAACGTATGAAGCACATTTGTTTCTCAATGTCTGCTGATGGAAACTTGGATTGTATCCAGCTAGCTAGATTTCAGGTAAACAGGGAACTTCTTAATGCAAACCACATGTGGATATAATTACAGATAATGGTATACTTGGATGAAGAGGTTTCGGCTCAGCA